TGGAGGGATAGGTGCTGTGATTGGGCAGTAGTGGAGGGATGGAGGGATAGGTGCTGTGATTGGGCAGTAGTGGAGGGATGGAGGGATAGGTGCTGTGATTGGGCAGTAGATACTTAGTGGGTGGAGTTGATTTAAAATAAAAAATAAAAAATCCCAAATAATAATACTTTTTCACTGAGTCTTCCCTTCAGCCAGGGAGGCGTAATCCTTATCCATGGTGGTCCATAAATCCTGGCCATGGTATTTCTGGGGGCAAAAGGCACACTATCTTGAGATACTGCATGATGCCTGTAACACTGATCATGGAGCTCTGCACGGCAGGGCCGCCATCAGGGGATAACAACCATGACGGTTGTCACGGGCCTGGCGGCCCTGGGGGCCCATCGGGTGGTCCACGCACTTAGGGCCACCGATGGGCCCTGTGTCTTCGGTTTCTCTGAAACTGCTATGTTTACAGCAGAAAGGGTTAACCCTAGATGGACCTGGCACCCAGACCACTTTATTGAGCTGAAGTGGTCTGGGTGCCTGTAGTGGTCCTTTAAATTAACAATATAGTGTCAGAAATACAAATGTGTATTCCTGGCACAATAGTTCTAAATAGGCTGACCCAGGAAGTCTGAGTGACTACCACTAGAGGTGTAACTAGGCAGCAATGTAAACACTGCCTTTTATCTGATCTGTGATACATTTTAGCAATGGGCGGAGCTTAGACAAAGTTCCATTTCAGTTGCTGATTTACCCACAATCCATCAGTGAAATCAATTCCACAGAAGGCAAACAGCAGACAATATGGAGGGAGGAGAACAAAATGGCGGCAGCGCCCGTGCATAGAGATCGGGCAGAAGGATAATAAATAAAGTGAAGGAGTCTGATCATTTAGACCCAGGGAACATTGGGAAAGGAAAACTGACAGAAATAATAAACCATGGCAGTGCGGTTTTAATACACACAGGGCCGGACTGGCCCACCGGGATACCGGGGAATGTCACGGTGGGCCGGTGGACTTGGGGTCGGCAGTGCAGCATTTGATATATTTATTTTTCCCTCCTGTGAGTTTTTGTGTGAAGGCTGGGGCAGATAATTACCGAGGTGGCTGGTACACAGACAGAGGTCAGTCTGGTAGGAACCAGACCCCGCACTGGAGCTCCCTCACCCCAGCCTCAGCCTAGTCAACAAACACACAGGAAGAGGAAGTACAGGAAACGCCTCATGAAGGATCCACACACTGAATCCACACTGCCAGGGACAGGTAAATGTATTATTGATACTGAAACAGAGAGAGTGTGAGAGGGAGAGAGTGTGTTTGAGAGGGAGAGAGAGTGTGTGTGAGAGGGAGAGAGTGTGTGTGTGAGAGGGAGAGAGTGTGTGTGTGAGAGGGAGAGAGTGTGTGTGTGTGAGAGGGAGAGAGTGTGTGTGTGTGAGAGGGAGAGAGTGTGTGTGTGTGAGAGGGAGAGAGTGTGTGTGTGAGAGGGAGAGAGTGTGTGTGTGTGTGAGACGGAGAGAGTGTGTGTGTGTGAGACGGAGAGAGTGTGTGTGAGACGGAGAGAGTGTGTGTGAGTGAGAGGGAGAGTGTGTGTGAGTGAGAGGGAGAGTGTGTGTGAGTGAGAGGGAGAAAGTGTGTGTGAGTGAGAGGGAGAAAGTGTGTGTGAGTGAGAGGGAGAGAGTGTGTGTGTGAGAGGGAGAGAGTGTGTGTGAGTGAGAGGGAGAGAGTGTGTGTGAGTGAGAGGGAGAGAGTGTGTGTGAGTGAGAGGGAGAGAGTGTGTGTGAGTGAGAGGGAGAGAGTGTGTGTGTGAGAGGGAGAGAGTGTGTGTGTGTGAGAGGGAGAGAGTGTGTGTGTGTGAGAGGGAGAGAGTGTGTGTGTGAGAGGGAGAGAGTGTGTGTGTGTGAGAGGGAGAGAGTGTGTGTGTGTGAGAGGGAGAGAGTGTGTGTGTGTGAGAGGGAGAGTGTGTGTGTGTGAGAGGGGGAGAGAGTGTGTGTGAGAGGGGGAGAGAGTGTGTGTGTGAGAGGGGGAGAGAGTGTGTGTGTGAGAGAGGGAGAGAGTGTGTGTGTGTGAGAGGGAGAGAGTGTGTGTGTGTGAGAGGGAGAGAGAGAGTGTGTGTGCTTGTCTGCAGTGAGCTTTTAGTGTGCTTGTGTAGAGAGCTTCTGTATGTCAGTGAGCTTGTATGTCTCGGTGAGCTTGGGGGTGTCAGTGAACTAGCCTGTAGTAAGCTTGTGTGAGTCAGAGAGCTTCTGTGTGTCAGTAAGTTTGTGTGTGTTAGAGCGCTTGTGTGGGTCATAGAGGTTGTGTGTGTCATGAGCTTGTCTGTAATGAGCTTGTGTTTGTCACTGAGTTTGTCTGTAGTGTGCTTGAGTGAATGTCAGTGAGCTTGTGTGCGGCAGTAAGCTTGTCTGTAGTGAGCTTGTGCATGGGTCAGAGAGCGTTTATGCGGATGGGTGAGCTTGTCTGTAGTGAGCTTGTTTGTGTCAGTGAGCTTGTCCGTCAGTGTGTGTGTTTGTCTGTGTGCAATTGAACATGTGTGATTTATTAATGTGAAACATGCTTGTTAATATATATATATATTTGCTGAAATTATACAATTGACACACTGAGGCTAATATCGGCATGGAGGATTGCCCTGCTTAAAGAATTGTCTCCAACAGACAGGGGGCAGCTTGGAGGGTGGGTGTTACGGCACTGTAACACCCATGGATTATATAGAGTGGGGGGCTGCAGGTAAGAAAACATTATTCCAAAGCACATACATATAAAAAATACAATGTGACACAATGAATTAGAGGGCTGGAATAATTTTTTTTCCAGGGCTGCTTTCTGTTCCCAGTCCAGCCGTGAATACACAGAGCAGCTCGGCGTGGTTTCTCATGGCAGCCGCTGGTCAGGAAGGCTGGAGGCTGCAGAGTACAGGCCGGGGATCTGTGGGGCACTGTGGCTGATTTAGAAACCTGCCATGCTTCATTCCCGCCATCTTTGTAACAAGTACTAGCCCCCTAGCAACTGCAGGCTGCCTCCTCCTATATGCCAAAACAAAGCATACACAATTTTATTTATTTAAACTCTGCCAGTGAGTGGCACAGTGCCCACACATGCAATGGTTACCATGACAACATGAAGTAATACAGCCATCACCCCATCACTGCTAACCCACAACAGGCCCCAGAGAAACCAAATCCAAGTTAAATAGAGAAATGTACGAAGCACATAAAATGTACAATGGGGCCGCCATAATGACAGCGCAGATGGCAATGCTCTCCAGCTAAACAGCAGATGGGGGAAATCACCAAATCATCACTGGCACTGGCAACCAACAAAATCTTACTCTGCAGCCTTAGAGACCCCAGATAAACCCCCGTCATGACACTGGCTCACACAGTGAGGGGCAAACACACAGCACAGCGTGGACGTGAGGGAGAAAGAAAAAGGCTGGGAAAGGAAGGACTTCAAGACTACCGGCAACAGGAGGTACCAGGCTAAGCCGCCTGACCACATCTCCTATGCTGGCCGACATCGTGCTCCTCAAGTGACTGGCATCCAGTATCGCACACCCTTATAATCCTTTATTGGAGACTCTGTTAAATGGACGTACCTGGAAATACTGGACAGATACGGACACCGTTACAATCCGTTATTGGATGCTCTGTTAAATGCACGCACCTGGAAATACTGGACAGATACGGACACCGTCACAATCTGTTATTGGAGGCTCTGTTAAATGGACGTACCTAGAAATACAGGACAGATACGGACACCGTTACAATCCGTAATTGGAGGCTCTGTTAAATGGACGTACCTGGGAATACAGGACAGATACGGACACCGTTACAATCCGTTATTGGAGGCTCTGCTAAATGCACATACCTGGGAATACTGGACAGATACCGACACCGTCACAATCCGTTATTGGAGGCTCTGTTGAATGGACGTACCTGGGAATACTGGACAGATACCGACACCGTCACAATCCGTTATTGGAGGCTCTGTTGAATGTACGTACCTGGGAATACTGGACAGATATGGACACCGTCACAATCCGTTATTGGAGGCTCTGTTAAATGGACGTACCTGGAAATACTGGACAGATACGGACACTGTTGCAATCCGTAATTGGAGGCTCTGGTAAATGAACGTACCTGGGAATACTGGACAGATACGGACACCATCATAATCAGGCTGATCCTAAACTACCACATAACATGTTATTTTTACACATACCTTGTCTTTTTTATATATTTGTAGTGCAATAACATACAGCACACTAGTGTTTATTGTGGCCTCTATATGTAAATAAAATATTACATGTTCAGCTTATTGAAATAATCTATTTTCTATCCCTGTATTGCACAAGTAGTGATGTTGTTTGTGTAAGTTTTCCCTATAAGGCACCCATGGATTGTCATTGTGCAGTGC